ATATGTTTTATACATTATCAAGCTCTGATTCCCCGAATGCAGAAACAATGTTTTCGTGCCTAACCTTCGCGTGCTTTAAATAACTGAATTTGTATATAAAAAAATATGAAATAAAAACATTCTTTCCGTGCGTGGCTGTCTTGGAGTCATATTAACGCGTGTTTAGTCGACTATAGCCGATTAGCAACCCACGTCAGTTACGGAGACCTATAAAACCAGACATAAGCTCACTTAGATCCTTTTTACAGCGCCCTCACTCGACTTCTCCAGAGCAAAACAATCTGGAACAAAACATAGGCAAGCAAGCACAATACTGTAACTGGAAAAATAGAGTGATTCCAGGTGAGGACATTTTATATAGCTTGCACGTGCATTTAAATTTACATAATTGATTCGCGTTGCCTATGGTAATCATAGAATTGACGAATGGGCCACTCGGGCTTGGCACTTGCTTATTTAGTATCAACCTTCCAGCCGGCCGGAGTAACTATATTTTCCCTCATTGGAGCATACCTTTTTTGAAATCAACGTTGCTTTCAATACTTGCGAGATTCAACAGTATTAAACGTTTTAAACTTTTACCTTCTAACTTTTACCCCTTGGTATAGAATATCTCACTCACTGACATGCGAACTGGAAAGCAACACAAGTAAAAACACAAACGGTGTCATTTGACCGGTGCAGAGCTCGCGTTCTGATGCTTGTCAACTCTCTCCAAACAAAACTTAATCACTCACCGATCGAGGCGGGACCGAAGTGTTACCGTTGTGTTCTAGGTTGTGCATATACTTTGAATCTAATTAATCTAAGGGTTATTCATGATAGTTCATTAGTTCGAAGGTGGTCCACATATTTTATTTGCCTTTTATATCGACTGAAAAATAAGCACTCGTATCTGTTTATCATGGATACGCAATGTTTGTTTTTTCAGTTTAGTTTGTTGTTCTTAATCCTCGTCTCCGTCCTCTCCAGACTAAGCAATCCTTGTTCCCGTTTAGTTTGATCTAATTCCTTGTTAAGTTTGATCTAATTCTTTGATCTTTTCTTATTCAAATAACATTTTATTTTGTACTTTCCTTCTGTTTAAAAATAGTTCACTGGCACATCTCCCATCCTAACCTGCTCAGATTTATACTGGTTGCCAAACTTAGCCAAATATCTGCCGTATCCTAATCAGTTGCAGGTTGTATATAAGCCTTTTAATTTCTGAAATTCGCTTTCAAGTGTGAAGTCTTTATTATACTATTTTATATGACAAGTTGTTTACAAATTTTACTACTGAATGTAATCCATACTTAACTATACCGTGATGGGTGATACGCGACAGAGAGTTCTAGTCCCGAGTCAGATTTGACCTTTTCTTGACTAGATGGTGGAAAATAGCACGTCAAATGTATTAGTTTTTTTTTCGCAAAATTTTAAGGGTTATCTTCCCGTCTCGTAAAGTTAACGGTACGCAACTCTTCTAAATGTTTAACGCAGAGAAATGTGTAATACAAGAGGTGTTTCTTTTCCTTCAAAATATAATTTTACAGATCGAAGTTAACGAATTAACCCCAGCAGACAAGCAAAGGGGATTTACAGAAAGTTACTCTGGAACAGCCCTCGTTGACTAATACCTCCACTCAAAAGTACTCTTCAGAAATAGTTTCCTTGCCAAATTTTCACAGGATTACCTATTATGTAACGTTTACTTACACGCAAGGCTGGCAAAGATCTAAGAGGCTAGACTAGCACGTTACAATGGCATCCCTTGGCCTTGGAATTATTTCAGTACTTACTGAGTGAAATTATGCGTCAGTGTACTTACCACTGGAAAAAGAAACCTTAACACTTTGAATCTTGGCAAACTTACTAACTTTGAAGTGCTGCTTAATCGTCGAGTCACAAAGACCCACACAGGGTTCACTTTATGTGTATAGTTATTTCCTAGATACAATTCAATGAGCATGGTCTGATTTACAATTTGAAATTACAAGTATCTCTGAAAGCAAAAAAAAGACAACTTAAATGTTGTCAAGTCTTTCAGAGCTCAGTTTTAAAGCAAATTCAAAAATCGGCAGACAGCGATTTAATCATGATAGATTACATACAATGATAACATAATTCGATTCACGTTCTTTTGACTCATGCTTTACCTACAACTCACACAACATCAACTATCTAATTGCGACTCCACTAATAATGCTCGACCAAAAACCAAACCAGTGGCACAGTTATAACCTAGTATCTGAATCATTGTTTTTCCACATCGTATTCATTATGTACAAGTACAGCAGCTTACGTGACCTAAAACCGATATTTGCCACTAAACTGGGTTTAACTTGTTTCTATGAGTCAGCAATGTGATGTTGTTGCCTCAAAAGCAGATTAACACTCACGCAATTGTCAGCGGAAATTTCAAATCGACCCAGGGGATTGAAACTGACAACACTAGTTTAATGGGTTACAGTTCTGTGATTTGGGTGGGAATAAAAGGATGCATTTTCCTCGGAAATCGAATTTAATCCAGCTTATTTTAAATAAAAGTGCCTTCCTGTTTCATTAACCATTTCAATGCTTTTCCTGTGAGCTTAATTTCATTTCATTGTCGAACAACTGGTTAATCGACTCTCTGTATTAACTGGAGAACAGAGCAAGCCAACACATCAAAACGTATAATGTAAGTCCTTTCTTTTTATCTTTTGGCAAATTTTAGAGCGAAAATTGCAACTAACTTGTCTAATCTAGACTACTAAATAAGTCAGTAAACGCTACACTTGTTCATGCATGCGGCTGATTAGTAGTCTTTGAATGGGAAAGGAAAAAAAAAAAAGCCTTACAATTGATAACGATTATTTTTCAAGACCCGTGAGTGTTGATAACAACCGCGGTACCTGTAGTGTTCTTTAGAACAATTTATGGAGTCTCATTACCCTTATAAACAATGCAGTGATATGCTGCTCTAGGTAGCCCACTGTCCGATTAATTCCCTCTTGGAATTTTATATAGTAACAAAACTCTTGGATCACAGTCGAGGACACTGGCTGGTCGAGTAGAATTAAGGGAGTTCTGTGTTTCACTAGACTACAACAATTCTCTTCTGGTATAAATGCGGTTGGGAAGGTTAACTCTGGAGACAAGTGTGCCAGAAAAAAAAAAGAGTTTTTATAGACAAAATAGATTGTTCTGCGATATTAAATTTAAGGACCTCATGAAGATCGAGGAGAAAATCACGTAATTCGATTTTGACATCCTCAGTTGTTACACGTCCAGGGGACTTTGACCGGGTTTTAAATTACACACACTCGTGGAGAGTTATTACTGTCCTAATCGTGTGCTCAAGGTTCTCTCTGTGACGCTGGACTGGTACATGGCAATAGTGGATTAGGTCAATTGAGCTATTAAATCTTTCGTGTTTTACTTTACCCCCTGTGAATATTCGTAAACGTATCTCAAACTCATTAATAATTCATCAAGTTAAAACAAAGAGAGTCACAACAGTGAAGGAGGTTTGGATACCAGGTCTTAATTAGCATAGATTTTGACGATTTTACTTCTCCGTTTACTCCTTAGTTTTTGTTTCAATTGAGAAGATATATCAAACACTCGTGTCAGTGTTTCATCGGCTAATCAATCACCTCAAATTTCGTCAAAAATATTCCACTGCGCGTCGTATTTTCAACTCTCTTCTCGGTGTTTGGATATCCTGATGAAACACAGTCTCCCTTGTTTGATATATTACTTGACATTCCATTCCAACACAAACACGATCGTTTGTTGTTTTTTTTCAGATGCACGTTACGTTTGCCCCATTTTAAAAGTGGAAGAATTAAATTCGCTCGACTCCGACCTTACAAAGAGAACTCATTTCAGAAGCAAATATTTGATTTTTGTTGTTTGTTTTTTTAGAACAATCTTTCTTGTTGGCCCATTCAAGCTTACTTATCAGTAGCGATCGTGAGATGTGTAAAATTAGGCTGCAAACGTAAAATAGAGTGTTTCTTGTTTGGATGGGTGAGAGGAATGCATTTTCGAGTTTATATTTGTCAACAAGAATGAAAGAGACCTATTACCCGGTTGGAATGCTCTAATGAAATTTTAGGGTGAAGTTAAATTCTGTTGACTTGTCCAAATGAGTTTTTGTTTAAAAATGTTGAAAATGGTATTATAAACAAGCTTATATTTACTCATTGGTCGTAAAGAGGAGTTCCATAGCCACGAAGAAGTTCTATGTTTTCAAGAAAGTGTAAATATTCGTCCATTTGGCACTGTCTAAAATGGCGTTGGGGTTTTCAGGTCTCGTCAGTTTCCAGATCGGTTTTTGCAGTAAAAATATCGTTTTTTTTTATATCTGTTGCGTTTTTTTCCTTTTATAGTACTCAGTTTGGGGTTTTTGGTGACAACAATGGGGTGACAGGCCTAAACGACTCTTACCCACGCGTAATATTGCTCGAACTAGTCTGTGTATCTTTCAGGGATTTGTCCATTCAGTATGAAAAATAGCTTTAAATGTTTCGCTTACCAATGGTTGATTTTGGATTAAACTCCAGCGTTTAATGAGGATAACAGGCTTATCGTTTTGGGGGGATTTTTCGGTTTTCAAACGGATATTTTGAGCGATTTTCCGGTTTCTAGCAGGCTCCAATGCCCCTTTCTTTAAACGTTTTTCAAACCTCCTGAAAACTACGGCTTTCACAGTGCCATTAAACCAAAGATAGCTTCAACTGAGGTGGTATCGCTACTAACATCATTTTAACAAGTTCATATACGTTATGTTCGGGGGCTTTTCCTTTTTCTAACGTTTCAGGCGGTTTTTCGGTTTTCAAACCTCATGAAAACTACGGCTTTCACTGTGCCATTTAACCAAGGTAGCTTCAGCTGTGGTATCACTACTAACATAACTTAAACAGGTTTATACACATTATTTCTAACTATTTGTTTTTCTGTTTGACACGGCCAATGCAATCCCCGTGACTTCTACTTAACATTGACTTATCGTTATATTTTAATTTTTCCAGAGAACCTGCCACTGAAAGATGTGGTACAAAGCTGTTTCACTCTGGGTTTGGACTGCGCTTACAGTTCTAGTCCCAGGTAAATATTTTGCCTATTTTGTTTGATTGCGGTAGCATAGTGGTGCAAGTGTTTGTGAAGACCCTTGTAGCCCAATACCGCAGTAGTACTGAGGCCTCGTTTCCGAAAATCATACTCTTTTGTAGAGTAAGATAGCTTTCAACCATGATGGTCACCTAACAACCCTTTACAACCAGAGCGCCAAGAGGCTGAACTTTGTGCATTAGCACGATTCTGCATGGACACTGGCGGTAATTAAGTACGAATTACTGCCCTTTGCAGGCTTTATTTGGGCTGCAACTCAAAGCGTTGCGTCACCTAACCAATGACTGCCACGTTACCTCCAATGTATACTCTAACAGTTGTCTAGTAGTTGACTGCAAAGTCTTCCTTTCAAAAGGTACCTGTTGTGTGATGTTGATTACAAACTTTCGTCATTTCACTTCTTTAGCTCAAAGCAGCCCTCCAGTGATAACAGATTTCCTACAAAGGGATTTGGTTTATCCAGAGGACGTTAAGGCAGGAGCTCAGACTGGCTTCAGACTTCCCTGCAAAGCCACAGGGTCAAATTTAAAATGGACTTGGAAGCATAACGGTACAACTATCGCCGCCTATGATGGTAGACCCTTCACACTTACCGGCGATGGCACCTTGATAGGCAGTAGCTTAACTGCTACAGACAGTGGTACTTATCAGTGTTTAGTGGGGGACGAGAAAACTGGTGCTGTAGCATTCAGTAGAAAGCTTAAAGTTGCAGTCACAGGTAAGACTAAGGCCCAGTTCAGACGTTGTGCTTCTGCTGTGCCGAACCCAATTGCAATTTGCTTCGACTTTAGCACGGCGGAAACACGTCTCAGATTTAGACGTCATGTCGGCCAGTGTCGTACCAAATTCAGGATTTACTGAAGCCACGTAACAATTCTCCTCGTGACTTCTCCTGGGAACGCAATCCCGCCAAAATACATTAATGTAACTGATGAGTTTTGTTTGGCCTGGCAGAAGCACGAAGTCGTATTTCGTGAATTCATTTCTTAATGGAGCACTGTCGTGTTCTGGTCGTTAACAAAAGCAATATAATCCGTCTAGTAAAGAGGCAGCTCGTATAAGGGTCTGGACACTGATTCATGGCTCCAGCCACGTGAACATTATGCAACTGTAAAGTCGTATAAGAGCACCAAGTCATCAACCCAAAAACACATTAAAAACATTTGTAACCTCCAGTAACGGGAACCTCCCCGATCTCCTTCCCCGAGGAGTATGTTTGGGCCAGCTAAGCGATATCGACGTTGACGATATCGACTGTACATATGATAATCGTGTTTACTTTTTAGCATAACGTGTAATTATTTTAGATTGTATTTCATGCTCCTGACTTAAACTTTTTAAAAATTTTTACCCGTATATTGTATTTACTTATATTTTTAATTCATATGGAATACCTACAAATTAGCAGGTGTAATTTTATCGTTCAGGTGATGTCACACCTCACATATAGCGTATTACACGATATAAGTGTATTACACGATAAACGTCTATTGCATTGTATTGCAATATAGACCATACTCCACACAGTAAAACTGTTCGGTAGTTGATTAATATTCATTAAGCGGCTCACTGGGGTATGTTAAACAGTTGTAATAGGAGTAACAATACCTTTTAATTTTCTTCTTAGCTGTTGGTGCCTTTATCAATCCTACAAGTGTGGTAAAAAACGTCAATCTTGGTGATCCTTTCTCCTACGACTGTCCTCCTCATGAATACAGCTACGGTGTGGTGTACAGTTGGGGAAATGTCGATGGGGATGCTCACCACACGTTTGCGCGAAATGAGCGTCGTTCCATCTCAAGCAATGGCACTTTGTTTATAATGTATTTAACGCAAGAGGACATTGACGAGATAAAAAGGTATAAGGGTATAAGGTGCACCATTTCTGGGGCTAATTCCTTCCAGCGCTCTGGGACATTGAAACTTGAGAAGATTGACAAAGATCAAAAAGGTAATTAAAGACGATGGAACAGTGAAAGATACTGTTGAAGTATTAAGGAATAGTGTCAACTACCAGTGAGTTCCTCAATCCTTTCGTATACTAAGGCGGCGTTCACACTTGGTCGGCCCGGGCACTGTTGCCTGGGCCCGGCACAAAATATTGTTGCGTTCAGACACTGGTACCCCAGTACCATAGTACCATCTAGTGCCCGAGTACAATGTCCAGACCTTGTACCTGGGCACGGTGCCCGAATTTTGGTGTGACTACTTGGAAGACAGGTTCGTTTACATTTGTGCCCAACTAGAATCGTATTCGGGCACCGTGCTCAGGCACCAAGTCTGAACATAGCCAAAAAAAAAATCAAACCTGGAGATAACCGAAAACATCATTTGACAACAAATAAAGGGTAGGTAGGTAGGTAAAACTTTATTTATGCAGGGTGGCCCATTCAATTCAATTTGTCAAATTCGCAGCGATGACTTGCAGAACGGTTGCACTTGACCTCAAGGGGTCTAGGCCAGTACAAAATTAGATAAACGTGATAATTTAATGGTTACCTTGCAGAGGTTTGCGATGCTTGCCTTCGAAACTTCTAAATTCTTCAAATTGCGCAATATATGACCATTTGGGGAGTTGAACACAGATTAATCCCAGAAAGTTAAAATGAAATAGTCTGCTTCCCATTATTGCATTTTCCGTGATTTATTACTATGTTTGACAAAAGGGTTAGTTCGCATGTACAGAGCGCACAGCCTTACACACTATGGCTGGTATTAACATGAATCTTTTATGTGACAGATTCTGAGAACTCTACACTACCTATCTGGTTCGTGACACCAAGCGCACAAGAAACCGCTGTTCAAGGAAGGAATAAAACTTTGTTCTGCTTTGCTTCAGGGAGGCAAGTAACCAATCCTTACGCATTTAACAGAACAATCTAAGCTACAACCAAACCTTCTCCTACGGACACTCTATAATTATATAAGGACACCTCTTCATTAAAGTAGCACAAGAGTAGCACTATCACGGGCACGACTTCCAGGAGTCAAAACCGAACACTGAGACATATTTCCATCAAAGGAAACCTTAGCATGATAAAAAAACTCATGGTGCTCAATTAAGTTTTGTTGAGCATTATTATGCAATGGTGCTGAATCATGAAGGGTTTGATCATTAAGTAACTCCAAACTTTTTCAATATTACCCAAATGCGTCTAGACGTTTGCGGGATTAAAACGTACGTCTGATCGAGGTAATTTACGCGTTGTTTCCTTTTAAATCTCTTTCATGTTAGACCATCACCCAAGATCACATGGAAAAAAGATGGCAAGAGAATACGACTCGAAGAGAGCTCTTTCAAGATTTCCCAATCCTTCCATGGGAGACGTCTTTCCATTCAAAATGTGGACAAGGAACTGCACGAGGGCACCTACACATGTGAAGCTCAAAACGACCTCAACGAAGAAACTCCTATCTCTTTCAACTTTACACTAAACGTAGAAGGTACGCGAAACTTTCTGCAATCTCCCAAAAACATAAGAATACCAAATCGTTCCCAAAAGTCACGTAGGCTTATCAACAGAGCTAAGGTGCCTCTGATAATAATCAAGCTCACATTAAGCTCGTATAGATTATAATGGCGCCTTTCGATGATAAACGCCGTGCTGTTCAGTGTTTCGTCTCCTATCAGCATGCATAGAGACCGTTCACAGTTTGTTATATTTTAATGTTAAATTAACTGTATTAGTTTTGTTTGGTACCGTTAAGATATGAGTGTAATGACTTACCACATGCTGTTCTCACATGTACCCAAGATATCAGAAACCCAATATCCCTGAGCTCCAGCATTTTTGAAACCTAACAGCATTTTCAACAGAAAATGACGTTTAATTAACACGCCAGAACCCTTCAATTTACATATATGTTTTTTCGCGTTTTAGTTCCACCGCAATGGGCCGCCGATGCTCCACCCAAAAATATCACCATTGTCAGTGAAAAGAATGGAACCTTAGAGTGCAAAGTGACTGCCAGCCCCCCAGCAGAAGTGTCATGGTACAAAAATGGAAAACTGCTACAGCCTTCAGAGTACGTTCACTTTGATTTTTTGTATGTCACCCGTCTCAATATCGAAAACAAGATGAAAATGACCAGATCTCTCTCGCATGCACAGTTTTCTTCTGAGGAGGACTGAGATTCCATCTAAAACGTTTCCATACTGTTGACGAACCATTGCAGAAATCCGTGTAGTCTCTTGGATTGGCTGTTTCTTTCGCGGGAAATTCCGAATCGAGAAACCACCAATCAGCCCGAACACAGATCTTTGTTTGGCACTATTTAAAGAATAAATAAATTACAGTATTTAGAGAGGAAGCCACATCAGCCTTAGCTGGTTTTCATGCAGGTCCTCTATGCTGGTCGAATTGGAATTTGGAGATATTGGTTTTTGTGGAGGGAGCAAACCCGGAGATAAACCCCCTGAGCAAGGCGATAACCACCAACAAACTCAACCCACATATGGCGCCAGCCTGGATTCGAACCCGGGCCACATTGGTGGGAGGCTAGCGCTCTCATCACTGCGCCATCCCAGCTACCCCTGGTTGGGTTGAAACTCAGACATCCGTCGAATGGGGGATGATCGAGGAGAGACATCAGTTTGTTAAAAAGTAGGAACTAAAAGAAAATATTTTTTCGATACGATGAAAATGGTAATTTTTGTCATCTTAGGCGTCATATACTGGATGGAAGCAGTTTACACCTGATAGATGTCAGTCTTAACGATTCTGGAGTTTACCAGTGTGTGGCAGTTAATGTGCATGGCATGATAATATCGGCGACTTGGATAAATGTGGCAGGTAATGTAATCAAGAACAACGATCAACGTGTAAATAAGTATTACATCTGAATTACATTGCAGTTTTGATAAAGTAACCAGATCTTGCACGGAAAATAGATCAGGCGGAAAGGAACAAATTTTCACTTTTTAGAGTTCTTTATCAAAAAGTTATTGGGTATAAGTATTCAGCAACATTTGGAAACTTACAGAACGCAGCATGGCTCTGCAATAATGGTTTAGTACTTAGCTTTGGTTTGCCTATATGGTGATCAGACCGCCCTGAAGAAAAGCCGAGTTTGTAACTAACTGCACTCAAATTACCTTATTCACGATTAAAGTGGTGATTTAGTGAAAGGTGTAACCGCTACTAATTAAAAAGAGTACTACAACCACGAATTGCAGTTCCCCTATATCCCAGATTGCTTTGAAATTATACTAGACTAAAGTTTAACAAAAATATTTGCGAAGAACTTGGTACATTTCTTATAACAGCATGGAAACCGTCATTTGCCAATGTGCAGTTTGGACCTTTTCATCTGCTGAATAAAAAGGAAGCCAAGTTGCCCTGCAAGCCCAGTACAGCCGCACCAGCTCCAACATATGAATGGTTGAAAAATGATGAATTAATCACTTATGACGAGGACAGTCGCTACAGGCTGGAGATGGATGGCACTTTAGTTATAAAAGAAGTAGACAAGGACCAAGATAACGTCAACTACACTTGCAAGGCAAAGAACTTTAAGGGTGAAGATTCTGTGACCACGGTCCCAATTATTCGTGGTAAGAGATAAATTGCAATACAAACTGAATCAACTGAACCCCCCACCCGTTCCCCCTTCCAAAAAGGCACACCCACCTTGCAGCTTTTAAATTCAAGATTCACCCCCGATTATGTTGGTTAAGCTCCCTTAACCAAGACGTTAGACTTTTTCACGGTTTCTGGCGCAATCTCATTTAGAATTCTAATAATGAAGGCTTTCGACAAACAATTAAGAACAAAAATCAGCGATAATAATTTCGAATGACGTTTCGATGACTTGTTCATCATTTTCAAATTAATGTGAAAAATGATGAACGAGTCATCGAAACGTCATTCGAAATTATTATCGCTGATTGTTATTCTTAATCTTATTTAGGGGGCCCAAACACGGCAAAAATTACAGTTAATGTACGGGGAAAGTGGAGAATTTAATGTCTAACAACTCACGGAAAATTCGAGTTCTGAAGTATTTAAGAATTACAAACTTACTAATCAAATTTGAGGGAAATAGCCTGGCTAGAAAAGCCACAGTTAAGGTTTTTATTTTTCCATATATTTGGCTGCAAAACCGAGCCGCAACTCGCGAGAAAATATGGAGACATTTGCATGAAAAATTCAAAGTGCAATGCCTCGCCTCACAGCAAATATGTGTACTTTAAATTTGACCAAAAACCCTTCTGCTGGGTATCTTTTCCTTGTAGCTCATAAAATACCCAGAAAGTCAATCACTCTCAGCTTATTGGACATCGATCTTTGAACTTTTCCCACACATTTACTGCGATTTTTGCTGTGTTTGCCCCCCCTCCCCTCCCCCAAGCAAGATGGTGTCAGAAACTGTGAAAAGGTCTATTTCCCAACCTAACTGTTAATATTTACCTATGTTATGTTAAGAGTTGTTTTCTCGTAGCGATGTGCTATTTTAAACCCATCAAAATGTAGGCTTATTTATCTTCAAGTGCCCAAAGTCAATTTGCGATTCCCAATAACCCTCCTTTACCCAGTCCCAGATGCAAACAGTTTTATCGTGGCCTGATGGTTGCCCCCACGACCACCTCTGCCCAGAACTACTTGCAATTAACTCAAATCAACAACTTTTATCTGCAGTTCTCCCAAGGTTAACAACTGAGCCGATAAATCAGACTATCACTGAGGGTGCCATGGCAACATTCTATTGCACTGCCTCTGGGCATCCAAACCCCAAGATAACCTGGATAAACGATGAGAAGATCGTCACTACAGGAGATACGCTGAGCTTTAAAACCAGCAGGAATCATTCTGGAGAATACTGGTGTTCAGCAGAGAACGGACTGAATGTAACTGTCAAAGCAAGTGCATCCCTCAATGTCCTCTGTAAGTATTTTTCTCTGATAGCATACGTTCTCTACTGATCATAAAACTATTAAACGTATCCAAAAAGAGCTATTTCAAAGAAGACAGCCACCTGCTGTTTGTAACACTTCCCCCTTCCTGACAGTAAGAATGCAAACGTATGACAGCTTTACGTTTCAATTATTTCCATTTTTAATAAGAAAGCCTGACCCTCACGCTGGGAAGCAATGACGACCTCAGCCAAGAACCCTGCGCATCATAAAAAAGTTCACGGGTTTTGCTTTTCAATTCCTTCGCTACCAGTACTCGAGCTTTGGTAAAAGCTCTGTTTACGAACTAGGAATCTCTAGTCATTCCGCCTCCTTCTTAGGTCTTACACACAATGCCTTTAAAGGGGAGGGATTAGTTCTTAGGGGCTTTAATTTCAGTAGGGACACTAAATCAAGGGTAGGCGACAAAATACGTTACTGGCCATTAATCTACAGTCATCATTGACATGATTGCTTGTTACTACAAAATTGAGTGCAAAACATTTGCCATCTTTCAGATAAGCCAAGTTTAACTACTGTTCCAACTAACCAAACCATCATCGAGGATGCTATGACAACATTGAACTGTGTGGCCACGGGAAACCCAAAGCCAAAGGTTACTTGGATTAGAGATGGAAAGATTGTGACTACCGGAAATACACTGACCTTACAAGCAAAGAAGGATCTTTCTGGAAAATACTGGTGTTCTGCAGATAATGGACTGAATTCAACTGTCAATGCTAGCGCTTATCTTGATGTGCTATGTAAGTACATGATTCGTTTCAACAGATATACATAGTCAAATATTTCAAAAAGCTATGGTGGGATTTCATAACTGCTGCTGGAGAAGACAGCGAGGACGTAAAGTAATATATCAACCACGAAAGACCGTGTTTGACCACATTTCCAAACACCGAGAGGATAGCTGAAAATACGACGCGTAGCGGAGTGTCTTTAACGACCTTCGAGGTCTTTGAAAATTTGGTCAAACACTGTGAGTCTCGAGAGTTTGATATATCTTCTCAATCGAAACTAAACTACGTGGGAAACGGAGAAATAAAACTGTAACAAGCTACGCTAATTAAGATCACATATCCAAACAGCGTTACAGACATGACTTCCTTGCTTTAAACTTGATGAATTACTAAAGAGTCAACTGTCAATGCTAGTGCCAATCTCAACATTCAGTGTAAGTACTAAAGACATTTCGTTTCCTTGTTATGTTATTTCATTTTTATCTGTATTCTGAATACATTTTCTGTAATTAGTTCCACCAAGTTTAAACATCACACCATCTGATCAAACAATAATGGAAAATGAAGAAGTGACGTTCCATTGTACTGCTACTGGCAACCCAACCCCAGACATAACATGGCTTAAAGATGGCAAGACTGTGGGCATGGGGGACACTTTGAGCTTCAAAGCCAAGAGTGAAAAATCTGGAAAATACTGGTGTTCAGCAGACAATGGGTTAGATACAACAGTGAATACAAGTGCTTCTCTTGATGTGCAATGTAAGTACGACAACTCTATGTTACCTACCTGGATCAAAGTTATCATTCCAGGTACACGTTTGTGGTTCTTTGCAGTCACATGCACCTCCCCCCGCCCCCATCTCCAGCTCCTACACACATAATCCTTTTTTTCCCAAATGCCCACGAAGCATCATGTCAGCAGTAGTTTCAATGGTAAACAAGTACTCCATTTCACAATACATTAAAGATCGAAATTCTACATTGTGAAAATAATGCACTCTATGTTATAACATTACATGCTTATCAAACTAATTTCAGAATTTAAAGAATTTCAAAATGTTATTTGCTTTAGTTGCACCAAGTTTAATCACAACCCCAACTGACCAGACAGTACTGGAGTCTGAGACTGCAACATTCCACTGCAATGCCACTGGAAACCCAACTCCAACGATAACATGGATTAAAGATGGCCAGACTGTGGCTAAAGGAAATACAATGAGTTTTAAGGCCAACAGGACTCGTTCTGGAAAATACTGGTGTTCAGCAGAGAATGGACTGAATTCTACAGCCAATGCTAGTGCCAATCTTGATGTTAAGTGTAAGTATTAAGCAAAATGATTTCAGTTAACAGCAACTTAAAAAATAGTCTAGAGTCAAGTCAAATTTATTTAGGAAGGGTGGCCCCATCAGCCATTGGCTGGTATCAAGAGGGGCCTGCATAAGCTATGACTACTACATAAAAATTTTAAGTATGTACAAGAACTTTAGAAGTGGACAAAAGTGAAACTTAACAATACAAATGGATAACAAATTTTAAGATTAAGAGAAAGTGGGAACTAAGTTACATAAGTATATTAATAAGAAGAACTAATGGCTTAAATTAAGTCTCAGGTTCTTAAAAATGAAAAGCAATTTAGCTTCTTTTATTGATGTCTGTAAATTATTAAAAAAATGCACCTGAATATCTAAATGTGTTTCTTCCTAACGTTAACTTAGGGTTCGGTAGATGAATGTCATTCCTTTGTCTTGTCATGTAAGTGTGAACAGTGTGATTTGTAATAAAATAATCCAATAAATATGGAGGAACTAATTCATTTAGACATTTAAAAACTAAACTGAATTTGTGGGCTTTCCTTTGTGTTTCCAAATCTACCCACCCTAAAATGGGTTATTGGAATATTGCATATTCCCTTTGGAAATTGCATATCCTGAAAAAAGTAATTGGCTGACCTTACAGTAACCAAAAAAACAAAGGATCTCATTAACTTTGGTAGGTTTTTCCATTTTCTTAGCTTAAATCATTTTTTGTTTTCTAGTTCCACCAAGTTTAATCAGAAAACCATCTGATCAGACAATTATTGAAGGTCAGGAACTGAAATTCTATTGTATTGCAACTGGAAACCCAGCCCCAACAATAACCTGGACGAAAGATGGGAAGACTGAGGCTGAAGGTGACACCCTGAACTTCAAAGCCAACAGGAGCAATTCTGGAAACTACTGGTGTTCTGCTGAGAATGGATTGGGCATTTCTGTCAATAGTAGTGCTTACCTTGACGTACAATGTAAGTACAATACACTGTAGGAGTATCCAACTTTGATCTTAGCATTTACATATCATGGAGGTGCAATGGCCTCATGGTTAGTGCGCTGGCCTCCGGATTGAGCAGTGTGGGTTTGAGCCTTTGCCAGGGACATTGTGTTGTGTTCTTGGGCAGGGCACTTTATTCTCACAGTGCCACTCTCCACCCAGATCTATAAATGGGTACCAGTAAATTTAATTTGGGGGTAACCATACAATAGACTAGGCGTAGCTTCCCATCCAGGAGGGAGTAGAAATACTTCTTGTCGCTTTACAGTACAGATACTAGGATCCNGGGGGGGGGGGAATGAAATACTCCTAGCTGCTCCATGCTACAGAAACTGGGGATAAGCACTGGCCAAATGGTATGGTACTATGAATGTACATGTATCATGCACAGGGACAATGTTCAACAGTGAAATACTTTAGCCTACTATAAGAATCATGTATTAAAAATGGTCGGAAAGTTCAAACTGTGAAAATTAAAACAGTAATTTAACTTTGGTGCGAAAGCCCTGGTATTTTAAAGCTCTATAGCTAACCTATAAATAATGGCACGATGGGGAAATATGAGGGCACAGTTTTCAAACCAAAATGAAGTACTTTAAAGTAATTTCCTCCAATAAACTTAAGGTGAAATTTATCTCTTAACATTTGGTGGTGAACATGTTTAGTGCCGGAACTTCAAAATAAGAGTTCACGCTAAATAAATAAGACTATTGAAGTCTCCTTCTACAAATCTGTTGATTGCTTTATCGAGAAAAGCTTGGTGTGCTGCAAAGAGGAAATTCATAATCGTACTATCTACAACAAGATATGAGACATTCGTGTATAAGGGAGTTATACTAATGTAACGCGAAGAACTCTCGAGATAGATGAGACTTGACCTACCTTCGAATGGAGGAATAAAATTATCTCTACTCTGAACTTAATAAATACAAACATGGCTTCCAAAGTTCGATTACCAGTACCCTCTCAAGGTACCACACAGTCGTTTTTGTTTCTGACATCAACGCTTTTGCATACAAGAGTTAAAAGCGTGTTCCTGCCTTCCTGCTAGCTGCAGAAACCCACCAGTATGGCCGCCTTTTCTAAAACTGGTGGGTACTTCCCGACTGGCGGGGCTGCTAAGCCAGGCCACATGGACAAGATGGCGGTGATGGCGGCCAATTTGAAACAAATCTTGTCATGTCTTCTCATTGTTCGTCCTCGTCGCTAGAATCTGTTGTGTAGATACAATTGCTCCAAGTTTGGGATATTCAAAAGAAGGAACAGTTACATAAATTGTCATCGAGTCAGGGACAATTCTCCGATTGACTGCCGATCACTGCCAGATCGAAATAAAACCATGGCCGTTCAAGTCAACATCAGTAAGAATTTGATCGACCACATAACACGATCATTTCACTTACGGTGAGATTAATTTAATAAGGACTACAGTGATCTGGTCATAATGTAGAACAAAGATACCAGAAAACGTACTTGGATTCTTCAGTTTAATGTACATCTGGCAGAGTTTAGTTTATACATGTTAGCTAGCGGGTAAGTTTGTGATCGATCGATCGATTCGCGCTAGTGAGCCTATGTGTTGGCATTGTTAGTTTAATTTTGTTCTGATATTCTCTTTTTGGTATTCTAGAACAAACCATGCTCAGCCGATGAATACTTATGCATTTATGACTGGCCTTGGGAATCAGCGGTTTAATCTTGTTGACAAGAAACATCCAGATTACCTGTTTGGCTATCCCTTTCCCAAATGCTCCGAGATTTCAATGTTTTCCTCCACGTTTAGCAGCAAAAACTGGAAGACAGATGATAAGATCCAACCAAATTTATTTGTATTCTTTGCATGTTGCAATGATCTATTGAATTGTATCATGCAGCAAATTATTTGCCTGATAATAAAAAGTGAATAAATGATTAACATTATAGATCAAACTCCCGTGATCTAAATATGTGTTGATCTGATTGTGTGTTGAGACATTAGCAGAGAAGATAGTAATGGTATAAATTATAGTTTTGTATTATCAAGTAACACAGTGATCCTATCGCACTGTGGAAAGAAAAATATTTACTGCTTTTGCATATTATTATACATTGAACTCACAATCTCTTTTCTGATTGGCCAGAAGCGTACAGTGAATTTTCAAAATCAGCACCTGTTACGTCATCTAGCTGCAGATTATACAAAAGTCATGTCAAGGACACTCAAGGTCATGGGTAATCATGTCATGTATGACAGCGGTGTATGATTTCTAACTGTAATCATGTCAAGTTCGCACGCTTTGTGTTGCTTGTCATCAGTGAAGAAGCAAAAAAATTACTTCCACCTTTTTTTCGTTCAATGTAGAATAAAACAATTAGATTCAGTTTTAATGACATCCAGAATAATCAAGTTCTCAGTGAGGGTTATCAGGTTACCTTGATTATTCTGGATAGCACGAAAACTTTATCCAATAATAATTATTGATAAGTTAATAAAGATGGTGAATTTTAAGCTCGGTAATAAAATGTGAAGGTGAATTAATCAGCATGACACGAGTGTGGGACAAAGAAAAATTCTGAGTCCCAGACAGGAATCGAACCCATGACTTCCCGAACACCGGGCGGGCGCTCTATCTGCTGAGCTACGAGAACTCATGGCGAGCAAGGTCATTTAACTGAGTTCATATATGATAGGTGTCCTGCATACTGCTAGGATCAACGCTATCGAATTCATCGTGAGTAGTGATAATTTAATAAAGATGGTGAATTTTAAGCTCAGTAATGAAATGTGAAGGTGAATTAATCAGCATTCATTACTGAGCTTAAAATTCACCATCTTTATTAACTTATCACTACTCA